AGCCTCGAGGGGCAGGGGGAAGCCAGCCCCGAGCCCCTTCGCCTCCCTCGGGCCCCTGTCGGCTGCAGGGGAGCCTCGCCCTCGCAGGCCACACGCCTCTGCTCCTCCTCCACAAATGGAAATAACTTTTATTTACTTAAAATGTTATTACAAAAAGAACAAGCAGACAATAAATTCACACTTTCCCACACCATACGGCAATAAGCGTCCATTCCTAAAATGATACCCCCTCTCGTATATATAGATCGATGGGTATGAGTATTTTATGAAATTGGGATCGTGCTGAAGGTAGTGTTTTGTAACCTGGCAATTTGTCACAATAATAGGAGGCGGACCTCTTTTGATGTCAATTATAGAATGGACCATAGTGGCACATGTCGTGGCTGTGTGGCTGTGCTATTTAATCCAGCTCCTGTTCTCAGGTGAGTTACCTAAGGGGAAGGAGCACCTCTTTGAAGGGCCCATTTAAAACAATGTGTTGATTATGCGTCATTTAAAACATTCCATTGAAAGCACTTTCAATAACATTCTGTCCAACCTTCGTTACCCATATTCATATTACCTGGTGTCCTCAAAAACAGTAAAGCTGACATAAAGCATTTATCTAATGAATATTCAATTTCCCCTGCACTGACTTTGTTTTTCCTACTTAGCCAGAGTGAGCTAGACTTCAGTGTTCCTGGGTAGGGTTGTGCAGATAAATTGAGACCTGGAGAGAGGAGGTGACTTGTCTAAGGTCTTACATAGTTCAGTTATGGCGGATGACCATTTCTTGAACATCTACCAGCAACAGGACTCCAAAGACGAATGTTACCCTCCAGGTGCTCCCAGGTGGGTAGGTGATAGATGTGTAAGCAAATGCTGTAACTTGTGCTCTGCTTTACTGGCTCCGGCAAAAAATATAATAATAAAATTAAAAAATAATAATCATAAGTTTTGTTTCCTTTCAATGTTCAAATCAGAATGATTAGCAGAAAGTCTAGTTTTTCTATTCGGATTTCCCCACTCAAGATATGTCCAAAGGCCTCAAATTTGCTGTACTCATCAAGGTGGTTGGTGGCAGGAAGAGCACACTCAAGTTGCATCATTTGCAAAGGGTTTGACAAAGGGACTATTTATAGAGATGCAGGTGAGATCAGTTAAAGCAACAAGGGGCAGTGTCTTAGTCCCAGGAACTGATGGGAGGTGTGAAGGGGCAATGGGAGGGAGTCTTTATGGTGTGTATGTTTGGGTGTGAGGGGGAATGGGGGACAGAGAGAGACAAACAAGCTGTATAGATAGAGATTTCTTAGGAAGAGAGACAGACACCCCTTGTTGACCCGACATGGAGAGAATCAGGAGAATAGATGATTTCCCCTTCCCTTCTCTTGCCCTCTGATCTCCTGCTAGTGACCAAACCCCACTAGCCAAACCCATTTGGAAGGTAGAGACCTAAGCAGTCTGTTGAGTGGGCCCATGCGTGCCAATCTCCTTGATACAGAGCAGGAAGAAAAGGGTGGAGAGCATATCTGATGGGGCAAAGGAACGACATCCAGCACAGCAGAACTCAGGTGCTTCTACGGACTGAATTTCACTTTTTTGCGGGGGCGGGCTTCCAGAGAGTGCCACCTGCTGGTTCTGGTCTTCTTTGAATGTTTGATAGAATTCACTAGTGAAACCGTCTGGTCCTGGACTTTAACTTTTTGATAAGTTTTTGATGATTGTTTCAATTTCCATACTGTTGATCAGTCTGTTTAGATTTTCCAGTTCTTGATTCTGTCTAGGAAGTTTATATTTTTCTAAATACTTGTCCATTTCTTCTAGGTTATTAAATTTGGTTTTATATGCTTTTTCATAGTATTCTTGTATGATCTTTTGTATTTCTGCGATATTAGTCGTAATTTCCCCTCTTTCATTAGTGATTTTGTTTATTTGTGTCTTTTCTCTTTTTTCTTTAGTGAGTCTAGCCAGGGGTTTGTCAATTTTATTAACCTTCTCAAAGAACCAGCTCTTTGTTATGTTTATTTTTTCTATCTTTTTTTGTTTCAATTTCGTTTATTTCTGCTCTAATTTTGATGATATCTTTCCTTCTGCTAACTTTAGGCCTCATTCGTTCTTCCTTTTCTAGTTTTTTAAGATGAAGTGTTAGGTTGTTTATTTGGGCTCGTTTTTGTTTTTGGAGATAGGCCTGTAATGATATAAACTTTCCTCTTATGACCGCTTTTGCCATGTAGGTGGGGCTAATTTAAAAGCCTTTAAAGTGAGTTGTCCATATTCTTCTATGATATATCAAAACTCGGTAAGTGGTAGTTTCTTAAAGTCTAGTGCAGTGTCCAATCTGAAACCATACCAATGAATTTGTATTTACATTAAAATTCCTTCATTTATCTTGTACTTTGAATGGACCTTTTACATGCAATGATTTTATAACATTATGCACTGTTTGGAAAGTATTGGGTCAGTGGTGCGAATCATCCAGATATTGACACACTTCATTATACAATATATTTTTAAAATCACCTTTGTAATATCACCTTCATTGCATCAGAAAAGTCTTGGGAAGAAGCTGTCAAGCTCCCAAGGGACCCCAGGTTTCTGTGGATCTCCTTTAGAGAACTACTCTTTTGAGTTGTTAACTGCTGACTGAGGCCATTAACTTCTGTTCTAATTATCTTTTCTAACCAAGGCTGAATTAAAGACTATGGAGTTTGTAATTCTTTCCCCCACAATTTACGTTGTTAAAGTCTGTCTTCTCCACTTTACTCTTGTCTTCTTGACTGTGGGAATCATGTCTGTATCCTTAGTATCTGGTGCTGTGCCTGGTGTATAGCAGCTGCTCCAAGTACACCTATTGAATTAACTACTGGGAAGGAAAAAAAGGAAGAGTGAAGAAAGGAAGTGAGGGAAAGGAGAGAGTGAAAGAGGAGGGAGCCAATCTCTGTTACCTTGTTGGCAAGAACTGTCATGAATTTTAAGTAAAGCCTGACCCCTAGTGGAGCCAGTTTGTTGGATGAGCTGGTCAGAGAAAGTTGCAAGCAGAAAGCAATATCATTTCTCACCTTGACCCTCTCAAGTCCATTCTGTCAGCTTGTTTTTCTCTGTGCCTGTATGAGATTCTGAGCATATCCAGTAGTGCTCACATTCCTCATGGAATCTTCACAGTAAAGGGTCTGATTCCTGGCTCTGCAAGTGCATAAAATTAATTTCTATCAATCTATCTAGGGTTGATTGTGCCTGGAGAAGTGATTCTGAAGCAAACTCATAATTAGTGACAAATGCGAAGGTATTTTGTTATCTGTAAATTTCTGTTACAAAGTCTTAGTTTCTTTTTTATCAAGATATACTGACATAAAACATAGTGTAAATTTAACATGCACACTGTGTTGATTTGATACACATATATTGCAATATGATGACCATCATAGTGTTAGCTACCACTTCTATCATGTCACATAATTATCATTTCTGTTTTGTTTTGTTTTGTTTTGTTTTGTGGTGGGAACAATTAAGATCTAGTCTCTTAGCAACTGTGAAGTTTATAATCCAGGATCGTTGTCTATAATCTCTGTACATTAGATTTCCGGGACTTATTTATCTGCTAGTTGCAAGTTTGTACCCTTTAACATCTCCTAATTCCTTCCTGTGTTAATTTCTTTTAATATGAGACCGATGTATAGGTCCCAGAGCTATTCATGTATTCACGATTTGCAATTCAACTCATCCCACTCAGGTTCCCAAAACCTGAGAAAACAAATGATTAATCAGAAGAGTGCTAGGTGGACACGGATTCAGAGTGAAAAAGTATTGAATGGGCAGGGCAGATGTTTATCACTAGCTGGTAATAGTCTAATGAGCCATAGTCATTATTCTGTATTGTTCACTATTTCCTGTCCCAGGAATCCCTGGAGACTTGCAGGAGACTTGTGTATTTGTACCTCCTCTTCTGGGTAATGTGTGTTTCATCCTTTCTCCATTTTCTATAGCTTGTTCTCTTTCTCTTACTGTGTTGTAAAAGCCTCTTGGTGTATTTGTTTGTAATATATTTTTTCTAACTTGTCTTTTATTACTTTATAGTATTTTAGCCCTTGAGAAGTTTAAGGTTTTTACCTACTATAATTTCTGAAATAATTTTTTTTGAGTGTAACTAGAAGTCATGGCACTTCTTATATAACACGCTAAAATATTTTGATATTTATTTCTGTCATGTCAACTAGGAATCATTTGATCAGCAGAAAAAATATTTTATGCATGTTAGAAAAAATACGTAAATGATTTAGTAAACTTTTTTTTCTTATCACTTTATTATTTTAATCGTTTACGGGTGATGCTCCTTTATAGACAAGATTGGTGTGTATCAAAAAAAAAAGTAAGAAAATTCATGGGAGGAAAACACAGTCTTGAGAAAATTCGGTCCATACACTTATTTTAATTCTGTGTATTGGTAAATGTGAATTGCCAATGTATGGTTTTAGTTGGTCTATCTCCTGGAAAAATGAGTGTTCTTTGTGAATATTTTGCAAACCCCAATGTCATGTTTTTCAAC